TGTGTATCAACTGAGTGAGGAGTAAAAAGGAGAGCTGAGACATCCTGGACATTTTGCTGCTTAGTAGGAAGGAGAAAAGCAGGTGGGTGTTGGACGAGCTGAAGACTAGGAGGGTTAAAGAGAGTGGGAGTTTGTACTTGTGACCGTCTCCCAACCACCTGTCTGCAGACGTGCCCAGAGGAAACCATAAACAAAATGGCACTCCATCCGAATGACAACTGATTACTAATAATGATAACATCCTCACAAATAAGACAAACGCCATCGCTGACTGGGGGATTATCAAGTGGAAATGTCCCCGATAAGACATTTCTGGTAAATATCAACGATTTCTGGGAAACAAAGAGGAAAAAACTTGTGAAATATAAACACAGTATCTTTGACCCTTGGTTCGTTTACCCTTCGGTCCAAAGGACTCATCCGAACACTGTGTCAATGTCCGTTAATCCATATTAGTGATGCATAACAATCTGCTATGACTCAAATCAAACAATGAAGCAACAACAGGAAGCTACATCTTCGCTGACTTGTACATTGGTTCATCTGTTGCCTAACCTTTGCCGTGTTAATGTCAAGCCACAGCACTCTCTAAAGCACAATCTTTAAATCTCCGTCGACACTTAATCTCCTCCTCGGGGGAAAGATAAGGAAAACAGATACCTGATTGAATTGTGTTTTATACACTTGACTGCCACATCAGAAATTGTCAAATGCCAAATCAGTAAGCACTTCCAGGACTTTAGAGGTCACGCCGAGTGAAGCCAACTCTCTGTATCTGTAACCTGAATACTTTCACCAGATGGAAAACACAATCTGTTCAAACTCCCCCAAAGGGATTTGGCAAGACAGTGAGTTCACAGTACACACACACACATACATACACACACAAAAAACACACACAAAGATTACAGTGACAAGTGTGATATGCTTTTGCCAAATGACGGTAAGAAATGTGCAGGTCTCCCCGCGCAGCAGAAAAGAAGCAGACATATTTATACCTTGGGCCATGAGACAACAGCCAACAGAATTATGTGTGCATAATTCCTGAGCTCCACTGTACTCTCCTCTTTCCCCTCCTCCACTTTGTTTTAGTGGCCGTGTGAACAGCCGGTGGAAAAAACACAGACACACTATTTGTGCAGTGACAAAAACCAAGCAGAAAGGGAGCAGACGTCCTAAAAATCAAAGTGTAGGAATCCCTCGTTTGCCCAACAGCTCGGGCTTTTTAATAATACACAGCAGACCGCCTGCAGGAACTACAGGATCACATTTTAAAAAATAAAAGCGCATTTGCCGCAAACGGCAGGCTGTAACTTTTTCAACGAGCACTTAAGCCAAAACTTTTGGAGTCTCGAGAAATGCATTCAGACACTCATCCTGTTTTATTTTCATTCTCACAATCCTTTGCAGCCACTCTCCGAGCTGGGTTATCCCAGGCGACTCAGTGTGTGTGCTTCAAAAAATGTTTCAAACTGCAGAAAACTATGTCACTCAGCACAAAACAAATGCACATAATGTTCTCCCAAGCCTTTTGAAAACTACATCCACCGCTGTCATCTCTCAGAAAAGCGTCTCTCTGGCCCGATCTGTGCAAGCTCCACAAACAGATTCGTGGCATGTTTCTACCTCCACATAAAAAGGTGAATCACACAGCCCGTACTACAGAGGGAGAAAGGGGGAAAATCTCACCAGCTTTACAGGGATCCTTATAGTCGATCGCGTCTGATGTGGCAGTGGGCTCCACATAGTAGCCTGGATCAATCGCGTCCAAATCGATCGCCAATATCACGCCGAGACAGGAGAGGAGACACAAACATCTCGCCGTGAGATCCATTATTGTTGTGGGGGAGACGGCGAAAGGCGAGGGATAAAGGTAAAGGAAGAGAGAGGGACAGAGGGAAAGAGAGAAAGAGAGACAGAAGAGTGAGTGAGAGAAAGAGAGAGAGAGAAAATGGGAGGTTTTTGGGGGAAACGAGATCCCTCCGGAGGGCGGGTTTTAAATCCAGCCTCTCACCGGTGTCTTCTTGGCTCTGGGGGCAGTGATTTCTCTCCTCCAGCCGGAGCTTCGGGCGAGTGCAGACTCTGCTGCCTGAGAAACTTTGATGATCTGGCAGCTCCACAGGGGCGGTGAAAATGCCCCCATTACTCGGTGATGCCCCTGTGCGTTTTTATTGCTCCCCGGTTGGTCCATCAGGGGTCCTTGAAGAGCACATGAGGGACTATAATTTGCTTCAGCACGTATTATCTCTCTGTGAAGGATGAATATGGTGGTGATAGTTCCCCCTCTGCTATCTCAACAGTCCTCTGTTTATAGTTATGGACCTTAATTCAATATTAAATCGACCAAAGTAAAGCTATCATTAGCTTCCAGGGGCAGGAGCTTGTTTAAAAACGTCCTGGTGGCGTTTTATTTTGGCTCCCATGTTGTCTATAAAAGTTCAGAGGAAGCTGTAGCCTACTCACGTGACATATTTGAGGGTCATTATTTTCTGTATATTTATGCAGTTTAATTAAAGTTATTAACACTTTAACTGCCTCCTCCTCTTGTTTCCCTTTTTTTTAACTCTTTAACACACCAGAGCGCACGAGACAGCTTAGCAGCACCGCGCACTGTTTATGCACGCACAATTTTTCACACGTGCGCACTGGACTCCAGCCGCCCACACGCGCTATCACACGCGCGCGCACACACACACAAACAAACAAACAGACAGACGGAGGTTGACTGCAATAGGCTTCACCCGCACAGATAAGGAACCATGGGCAAAATGAAGTGATGAGAGCGCCACCTGTTGGCTGTTTACGGAACAGGACACGGAATGATGGTGAGTGAAAGGTAAACAAACGTGTACAAGGGGTGTACCTCATGATAGTCTGAACTAAATAAATAAATAAACAAATAAATAAATAAATAAAATGTAGTTTATTCATGTATTAATTGGAGCAGAAGCTTCTCTGGCAGTGAGGACTTAGGTTCATGATATAACCACAGAAAGCCCACCTGGATTTAAAGCCTACATTTACTTATAATGATAATAGTAATAATAATAATAATAATAATAATAATAATAATAATAATAATAATGATAAAGAAAGGTCCATAGCATACCACACAAAAATAGACAATCATCCATGTACAAAATATGATATAATCAATACTATATATATATATTTATATGGACAAAATTCAATAAACTGCACCCACAAACAAGCTGGATTTAATTATGACATTAATTAATCATATTTTTTTATATTACTGATTCCTTTGTTTCCATCTTTCCAACACTGTTTATTTTTCTCTGGCACTTTTCCTAACCTCTAGATAAACATCTGTTTGGATATACACCGATCAGCCAAAACATTAAAACCACTGACAGTTGAGTGAATAACTTTGATTATTTTGTCCCATTGCATTGCACTGCTGGGAAATCTTTGGTCCTGGCATTCATGTGGATACCACCTGATATGTTCCACCCACTCAAACACTGCAGCAGACCAAGTACCCCCCCCCCCATGGCAACAGTATTCTTCAATGGCAGTGGCCCCCCAGCAAACATCGCTCAGGAACGGCCCAAGGAATATGACAAAAACCTCAAAGTGTCAACCTGCCCTCCAAATTCCCCAGATCCCAATCTGAATGAGCATTTGTGACATGTGCCATTAACCCACCTCACAACCCACTGAACTAAACGGATCTGCCGACCAACGCACTGGTGCCAGACATTCCCAGAAATCCTGTGTTCAAACCTCCACAGGTCAGAGCCAAGTACGATCCAAGGAGGCCCCATTAGGGGTACATCTGAGGTACCGGCACATCACAAGAATCCTTGAGCAGATTGGAACCTGGGAAATTTAGAAGCCAGGTTGTCATCTTGAGCTTTTTGTCATGCTCCACAGGCCATTTCTAAACAGGTTTTGTAGTGTGGCATGTTTCTTTTTCTCTGCTGGAGGGCCATTGGGGAGTAGCGTTGCCATGAGGGGGGGGGAATTGGTCTGCAACGGTGTTTGAGTGAGTGGAACATGTCAGGTGGTATCCACATGAATGCCAGAACCAAAGTTTTCCCAGTAGAACAATGTATTGGAACAAAATAATCAAAGTTATTGATCAGTGTACAGTCATAGTGCATATAAATAGATTAACTATTCATGTTTTTGTATTCTTCTCTCTATACCTGTGACTATAATATATTCTATGTACAGTTGGTTATAGTTCAATGCACAAGCACAATCCTGCATATAACCTTTTCTTTAACTTGCACTACTAACGGCATGATCGACATTGCACTGTGCATATTCAGCACGTGTTAGAGGTAAAACTCATAGTCCTAATTTTAGGCTCCATTCAAATGTACATAATTTTAACAGAACAGAATATCAACCAACAATGGATCCAGCAAGAGAGGAAATGCAGGTATTCCCTGAGTTTCTTCTCAATTTATCTCACTATAGCCAATTTCCTGCCAATAATTACTCACTGTTATTAATTAAGTGAAGATTGCCTCACTAAGCTGAAACCCTCTCTCCAGTCTCACCGGATTCCTCACACATCAACCTAATTTCTGCAGAAAACAACAGAGCTGTGGTGGGGATTGCATGGAGAGACCTCAGATGGATTGCTTGAATATCCACTGCTGCTGCTGCTGATGATGGGAGGCTAAGCCAGCAGCTCTGTTGTTCTGCGTCTGACTGGCATCAGTTATCCTGTCCCTGCCTATTACACACAAAGCCTGGGCTTATATAAGAGGGAGGAGACATGCTCCGCTCTTTATCTTATCAAACTGCTGCCTATGTGTGGAATTTAAGACAGGATGTCAGCTGAGTTGTGTGGGCTGTATTTATGCTGTTGCTGTAAACACGGCAGTGTAACTATCATGCATGAGAGCAAGCGCCTTCATTATATCTTGAATAAGAGGAGTTTCTTCAGCTTGCTCAATACAAGTGTTGAACACACAGGACCAAATATTTAGATTAGCAAACAGGGAACATAGAGTCATAGTGTCTTCAGGCAAATCATTTTTTTATATACTGTGGCAGTTTCAAACAAAAAGTCCATATACAGCAAAGTGATGACACACTGCAGATGGGAAATATTGCCTTATACAGTAGTTTAGTGGATACAAATATAACAGATGCTGTTTATTGTAAACACAAACGGACATGACCTTTCATGTAACTTTCTGAGTATATATGCATATTATTCAAACTGAGCATTGCACAGGTGCACAGTCAACCCCATATTGTTTGTGACAATATACTGTAGCTTCTGCTGTCACACAGTTATGATCAATACTGGCATTCAATTAGCAGTGAAGTTTAGTTCTTACTAAAACATATTTTAAAGTCTATAATATGGTGAAGTTGTTATGGTGAAAGGAAACTGCTGCACAAAAAGCAATTATGATGATGAAATACTGTTGATGATGTGAATATAATTACTGTGATAAATAATATGTCTAACATTTAAATTTAGTTATTTCACAAATATGGAGATATTCAGAAACATCCTCTAAATGCTTCTCACGCAAGCTCGCATTCCTGTTAATTATACATGTCTCGACCTATATGATAAATGAGATGATGATAAAGGATTAAGACTTAATATACATTCAGAAAAAGTTTTTAAAATCTTTTTTTTTTTTTTTTTTTTTTTAGCTGAGATATAGGTGTATAGTCAGCACCAAGACTGTCCCTCTGTAGGCTGTACAGCGTTATTACCACAGTCCAGGTAGGCTGCAGTTCATCCTCACAATATAATTTGCTCCCTTGAGGATAACGTGATGTGTTTAATACCTGGCTGTCACAATGTTAAAGGTATAAGAGGAGAGCACAGACTGTAGCATGAAGACCACCACTGCAGTGCAAGCAGAGTGAGTGCTACCCATCTGCGCATAGAGATTAAGCAACCAGCTCAACCACGGCCGACAGCGACTGACTGCCTGGCCTTTTCCAACCATCTCGACAGGGGAGCTCTCTGGAGGACGTGAGGCAGGTGTTCTGCATGTTGTGGGGTGGTGTGTTCATCATTGCAGGGGAGGGTACAGTCTCATCAGCAGGCTGCGGCTCCCAGATACCTCTGGCACAGCACCAGCTTACGTCAGGTGTGTCACCACATGGAAACCTTTCACTGCTGTAAAAGGGCACAGTGGAATTAATGAACTCCAGGAAAATAAGCCTATTTATATTAAAGTCTTATGGACAAAAAAAAAAAAAAGTGTTAGACACTTGGCTGTAGAACTGACTGACAGCTTCAGAGTGCGTACAGTATCTCGAGTAATAATGTGAGGATATTATCAGAAGTGCTGTTCCCTGTTGTACACAGCCTCCTATTTAGATGGATTAAGATAATACTGAGCTGATGAAGTCGTTCTCACTCTGCAGTCATGGCAGATATTTATGTAACTTCCTATTATGACTGTACCTCAAAATATTAAAAAAATATCTGTCCAAATACTTGTGCCTCGAAAATAAGAGGACATCTGTGAAAGCAGCTGTTCTATACAAAGTCCTTGATTAAATTAAGTAAAAGCCGCTGTCCACACCTGAACCTTCGAGGCAGCATCATTTTAAACCATAAGGAACCATATCAGCGTGTCTTTGTTTATATAAACCTCATTATGTGCATTCACTAACTTACGATGCACATTAAGCCACAACATGCAATGATAAATTGGGTAAAGGATTACCACTTAGGGCAGGTTATTAATCATTCATTGTTTTATACGTTATTTCCTCAAAAGAATAGTTGCGGTCGGCACAATTATTGCATGGCATTGTGGTTACCATGGTAGTGAAGATATTCATAACAAGATAAATTGCCTTGGGTTGCATGGATAACAATGTGGGCAGTGTGAATGCAAAAAAAGGCAGATGTTGCATGAATCAACAAGCAGAAAGCCAACACATTGGAAATAATAAGTAACCAAATAAAGAGCTGCAAGTACAATGAGCCTTTATCAGGAGCCGTTAAGATGCTTACATAACACACACCTTAGGCTCAAGGGAGCGAGCCGGCGTCACGACCTCGCCAGCTTGGCTGAGAGATCCCACTCTACTCGGCTGTGCTCCTCGCAGGGTCACCGTTATGGAAGTGGGGGCTTTCTGCCCTACTGACACACAAACAAAACTGCTCAGCACTAACAGCTAGGCATGCTAACTCACAGAATACACTAGGAGTAAAAATGGAGTAAAGCATTTGACTGTCATGTTGTAATGGAGGTCATTGGCATCACCTTTGTGCTTTGAGGTCAGGTTAGCAAATTAAAACAGTAGCAGGTTGTTGGACAATGAACATAATGAGAGGTAAAAGCAAATCTGGAGCTTTAGTTGGTGAGGTGAGCGGGGGGGTGACAACACAACTAAAAGAACTCACGCTAAAAGAAAAAGAAGGAGAAAAAAAAAACAGGAGCAATGAAAACATGAGTTTGATTCCAGTCTTTATTGTAACAACAGGAACAGAGTTCGGGTAATGCCGTGTGCTAACGTTATTGCTGTTCAACACGTCTCTGTCGGAGGTCAGCATTCATACATATGGGTATTATAAGCAGGTGACTTAATGGAAGGGTTTACAAAATGTTACCACATGAAGAAGCAAACAAAATCAACACAAACATGAAATGACAGCTCTAACAAACACATCTGACATACAAAGCAGTCTGGATTGAAGTTCTGAATTTGGTCAACCATACCCACATTGGTTTGCACATAATTCACAATTCGTCTGCATCAAATGGTTTCATACATTAATTTTTATTTTACATTTGCATCCATTTCCACATAAACATTATGTGTCAAACATAAGCTGGGAACTCCAAATTTTGACCTTGAATTTCCCATATGGCTCTTTAACATGAAAACAAAACATGTTGTACGCCACTAATCTGTCCTCAGATGCTCTATATCTGCTGCGCACATGACTCTGCACATCTTATATCAGTCAGGCTCTTCAAGGCAAACTATCTACACACACGACGACAAAGCTGTCCTCCACAGTCCTCTACTGTGGCGATCCTCCCTGGCCTACAGACGTCCTGAACTAGTGTTTCCAAAACAAAGGATGAATGAACTCTGAGCATTCAACGTGGCCGACGTGTTTTGGCAGTTCGAGACATACCAGCGGTCTGATTGGTGATGTGTGCCAAGCCGGGCAAGCTGCTGGCAAGTTTGGCCAGCCCGCCATTAGTGAGCAGCTGGTGGATGGCGGTGGTTTTAGCCACTCCTCCTGTGGTGACCACAGGCAACGCCCGGAGCAGAGTGCTGCTGCTGGTGCCGACGGAGCTCAGGACCTGACCCTGGGGCTTGCCACAGACTGCCTGAGGGTGGAGAAGGAGAGGAAAAACAAATAGTTTAAGGTCTCGTCATAAACAAAGACAACACAGAGAGGATGAACTCCTACAAGTAAACTTTTGTAACAGTTTATATATTAACCTGTTGTGTTTACTGAACTGTTAGGGAAGTACTGAGCATAAGACTGGATAAAGACAGTTGGACTATTCTGCCTAAGTTATGTGAGTTGAGTGGTTTGTAAACAGACGTTGCTGTCGTTTAACATGGTCCCCAATCAATCAATAAACCAATATGTTTGCTGTTTTCCAAGGAGGCATGCGAGAAAAAATGTTTTCTTCATGAATTCAAGGTAACACGACATGACTTACTGATTTCCAAATGGTCATTTTGTGGGTGAAGTATTCGTTTAACACTAATGATAATGTGTTCCTTTGTAAGTGCCTGGCAAGATTTGTCACATTTCATGAGTATTTTATCGCACAATGGCACTGTCTGCATATTGCATGTGATTTGTCTGCTGACCCGTCTTTTCTCAGAAATCCAAAATATTTCCACACTTCTGAGTTATTCTAGCGAGGGAAGTAAATATCCTCATTGTCTTTTTCTTGGCTGCTTGTCACTATCTGCCTGGCGCAAGGCTGCTAGCACCATTTAAATGTTTAGGAAGGAGGTGCACTTGGATGGAAATGGCAGCACAGACATGCCATGGGAATTTTAAAATAAATGCATATTCTAAAAATAACAACATGCATTGATTTTTGTTCACCCATACACACTACTGACAGGCTACTGGTTGTTTTTCATGATTAATCCAACTAACTCTTTACACAAGCAAATCCTCCATTGAGGTCATTCAAAATATTTTGCTATGTAACCAAGGGGTACCTGGGTGCTGCCTGGGTTGGCTGCTGTGGTGGGCAAGCTAGGTGCTTTGGTGACGATCTCCTGAAGACTGAAACTTAGGCCTTGTAGCAGACTGCTGGCGGAAGCTGCTGCATACAAACACAAACACAGTGAACCAATGGAGCTGAAATGTGGTTGAAATACACATGAACTCCTTTTACAAACCACTTCCACCAAATCCTCCCCACAGGCCTAAACTAGATGGACACACACACACATACACACAAACCATATGCACGTCATGTCCAAAGGGTAAGGTCGGGACAGTGACAAGACAGCGATGGCGCAAGAGGTAATCAATGATGATGTTTGCTTAAATATGTTGTCCTAACACACTGTTCTCATCCAGTGTTCAAAATTTCACTCTAACAAATCGTTAGAAGTGCACTGTGTGTTGAGGTTACTGTGCTGAGATTAGCTGCACAGCTGCGAGTGCAAACAGGCGTGCAGGACAGGACAGAGATACCTTGGGCAGTAGCCGGAGCTTGCGCCTGGACTGGTGTGGAGGACCCTGACACCATGCAAGGCTGCACGCTGTTGAATGAGCTGGAGCCTGGGGACAGGGCACCAGATACCTCTGAGAGACTACCAGACCTGCAGTGACACACATAACCACCAATCTACTCAGGAGCTACCCCAGCAAGTGATGTTTGGCCATCACTCAGCTCCCAGACTACACCACTCATCAATCCCTCTGCACCAGACACACTTTTGTCCAAAAGGGTGGGGGTGTGGGCATGGGTGTAGGCATGATTAGGGGTTTAAGCGCTCTATACTGAATGTGCCTGTTTGTAGCAGGGTAGACGAGCTTACCGCTGGCCTGTGAGAAGTCCGGAGAGCTCCTTGGCACCAGCCACAGTCTGTCCCACTGTTACAGTTAAGGGCTTCCCAGAGACACCCACTGCATTGAAAAAGAATCACATCATGATGCACCGGTTAGACAAACTTTATAAGGTTGTTCTTTAGAAACAGCCCGAAACAATAACAAAGCCAGGTAGTTCATTTATTCCTTAAAAGGTATGGTACCTGTGGTGGTTTTCAAAAGTCTTACTTTCACTTTAGCAGAACTGTACACCAAACAAAAACATGTTTCTCTTCTCATCATTCTATCCTGAGATCTGTACAAAGGTGAGCTTCAAGAGGTTGTTGCCCCATCCTGTCCACTGCTGATTTTATCAACACACAAGACAACAACAACAAGAGGCTGCAGCGATGTCCTGGCATACACATCATATTCTACAGATTTAAAGACATATTACTGTATGCAGGATTTTCCTTAAAAAAAAATAAAAAACAACAACCTCACCTATAATCACTTATGACCATATAACAGTGTGTGGTGTTGTGTTTATCGTTTGCCTGTATTTTATTAGTTTCTTTTTGTTTTGCAATGTGTTGGAAATTCCTGGGCACAGCATGCACCCAAGAGAAAGGTGTGAAAACTGTATACATAGCGCCAAAAAAAAAAAGATAGACAGAGGTAAATCACCAAGAGGTGTGAATCTAGGGTTGGCTTTCACTTTTGCCAGTAGCGCTGTTTACCAACAGTAGCAGATAATTCCTGCATAGTATAGGGTTCCCTCACATTTTCAAAACTTTTTCCAAGACCTTTCAACGACCAATAGTTGGCTGTGTTTGGGACATTACGTGGGTTATCCACAGAAGATTATGGTAGCAATTAATCTTATTACACACAACAAAATTCAACGACATTTCCAAAACTTTCAATGATTTTTTACTAATTCCATGATTTATACCCAATATATACCTTTACGAAAACATCTTGCTTGGGTACAGACCCCAGCAAAAATCACACCACAATCATTTTAGTATGTTTTCAATGAAAAGGAGAATAATTATGTAAACTTGATAATTCCTGCTAATATTGCAACTCATATAGCAATTGCAATATCAGTCAAAATAGCTGCAATTACAGATTTTTTCAAAATTGTTCAGCCCTGTATCATCTACTGCTTATGGTGTCACACGTAAGTAACAGGGTAAGAAAACCAGGTTTTGTACCTTCCTGTGCAGCAGGGCTGATGGTGCCCCCTGCTGACTCGCTCTGGGAAACAATGGTGACCTTGATCTTGGCTCTCTTGGAAGCTTTGCTTGGCGTGGGACTCGGCGTCTGCCTCCTCTTGCCATGGGACCTCAGTTCATCTCTGTCCAGGCCTTCCATCTGATCACTGGTCACTGGCACTGCACCACACAAACAAACACACAAACACATAAAAACAGAGATATTGACTATACTGCTGGGGGAACTTAAACCTGGGCTGTTTTATCCCTCTGTCTCCCCAATATTGATATAACATCCTGTCTGTATGTAATATAAACCTGCTCTGAAAATGGTTCAGCAATATAAAATGTTCTATTCTGAGTTCAAGAATTGTAAAGTTCAAAGCATGACACTGGGAGTTAAGTGAGGAGCCAGTGCAGTATTTCACTGTGTGACATTCATATAAAACTAGGGCAATGGAAACAAGGAAAGAAGTGAAAAGATACAGAGGAAAGAGAAAGGAAGAGGGATAGATACTTACCAAAGATACAAGGAGGAGTGCCAGGAGGAAGATTTTTCCTCACAAGCATGTTTTGTTTCATAAAAGCAGCAAACTGAGCTGGAATGAATTAGAAAGAAAGCCGGAAGAGAAAGTTGTAGGAAGAGAAGAGACAGAGGATGAGAGGAGAGTATTTCAGTCACGTTCTATCTCACCCTATCAGAAGTAGTGGCGTGATAATGTCTTAAATTCCTTTACTTGCAATCATTTTCACATCTCACATGCCACCCCGTCTGTTCAGCTCAGCAGGAGTTGAGGTGAATGACTCATTGTGACAAGTTTACATAAACAAGTGGGGCGAAAGTGAGAGCTCTGTGTACGCACAGGTACCAAGGATCACTGCGCACGTGTTGGTGAACGTGACTGCATACTGTGTTTTCAGTGCATCCAGATTTAAGCGAGGTGGTGAGCTAACCTTGAGCCTGCTTGTGAGTGAGCACTGTGCCAGAGCGCTGCATGTGTGTCTTGAGGAGCTGCGTGGCCGTGATCAGACTGGACTTCTGTGCTGGAGACAGACCAGACGTCTTGGGTTTGGGACTTGAAGTGGGACTGCTGCAGACACTAGACAGATCCTGGAGACAGTGAAGGGGAGAAACACCTGATGTGTAATGATTCATTAATGTCAGTCATCAAACATGTAAACCTACTGCTTTCAGTATTGATTTGGAGCAATGCTTGAATTGAACTGAAAATGGCTGCAGCCAGCTCAAACCAGGTCTGCTCATTAGAGTGCAAATGCGGTCTGCAAATGGTATGATTATTATAAATCCACAGAATATAGGACATATTTATTTCCCAAGTTCTGTAATTCTAGTGAGTGGAGGAGGTGAAAACCCATCATTAAAAATATGCCACCTTCATGACTGTCTGTCACTACAATTTAATATTATTCAGCATTTTTTCAGCTCAGCCAAAATAATAAAACGTGAGATAGCGTCACTTTCTTTTGTAGAAGATGCAATGACTTTCAAAACACTATCATTTTTCTTACATTTTTTACTACTGGACAGCTAGTCTAAAACAAACCCAATTTTGAGGATTCAAAGCAATCTATACTCTAGGGGTGGGGAACTCTGTGCACCTCATGATTTGATTCCGATTCAGAGGGCTACAATGCAATTATAAAACACCCACCCCCCTAACAGGAGCCCCTGCCCCTCTGAAAGAAACATACTAATTATTTTATGTATGATATTTATCTAATTAATGTGCATTAGTTTTATTCAGCTCTGTGTGAGAGTCTTCGCTGCGTTTTGCTGTCACTAACAGGCACTTTCTGTGCCCGTCCATACACATAGCAGAGAAACAAGTGAAGTGAACGTTAATCGAATACTAACAACTCCTTACGTTACATGTAATAAAAGTAAGTTCCCTCAAAACAAAATATGACAACCGTGGCGGGTGTGAGCCGCTCTTAGCAAAGTCGACAAGTAGGTTTGAAATTTCTGGTTAGTCACATCAAGATGTAATCTTTAAAGAGCGACTCACGATGCATCTAAGAAATGCTTTTTTCCCCCACCCCTACTATAAACATAATGAAACTGTAGTTGATTATTATTCCATGAAGCAGCCCTGGTGGTTCATCTAAGGGCTAAAAATAAGTGACACTTCTAACCAATTACAAAATGTTGGGCTTCTGTTCACTGACCTCTGAACCTGATGGTGAGATGGGAACTCGAAGTGCAGGGGAGGAAGGTCGTCCTCTCTCCATGTCAAAGGGAAGCTCCCGACGAGGCCTCTTCTTCTTCTCTGTGTCCATGTCCCTCATCTCCCCCGAGCCATGGCCGTGTCCCTCTGCCCGTGTGAGGACACCTGACAAGAAGTCAGCTATCTCATCCTGCAGATCAATCATGAAAGAGGAAAAAACTTTTGTTGTCAACATCATAGGCATTTTTGTCTTTTAAAAAAAGGTTCTGCAGAGGAGGAAAAACTCCAGAGAAAATGGTGTAAACTTAGTATTTCCAGTTAAAGGGACCAACCTGAATGCAGCGGTCCACCATAGTCTGTGTCAGTCCCTCTGATTTCATCTTCGCTGAATTGATTCTGTGGAGGGAAACCATTTAGCGTTACTATTACGACTGAATGATATTAAAATCCCTCTATTCAGCTGGAAGGAATATATTATATTCTGATATTTCTTGTTTCTTAAATGGCTGATTAGAGGTTGTGAATGACCTGAGGTTGTCATCTGATCCTCCCACCACCACCATGCTGTTGTCTGCCCTCAGCTTCTCTCTGAACTCCTCCATGCCTTCTATGCTACACTGCAGAGCATTCTGGCCAACCACAAACAACACGGGGGTCTTCATGTCCAGCAGGGGGTCATCCACATCCTGCAAACAAGTAGCACATTAAAATTCATTACAGCTACTGACTTGAGGCCAATTTTTTTCTGAATAGAAGCAATAAAATAAAAGAAGTAACGACATGATTATCACTGGAAGATATTGTCTTGGGTCTTACCCCTCTTGGCCCGTTGACTGTTAGCAGGGGGAAGCCAAGACACACCACAGCGGTCAGATACTCCATTAGGGATACCTGTAATTAAACAGTATTTAATTAACTAATGATGCTTTAAAGAAAAACATTTGTATTCTTTATTGGATAAAAACTATTTTGCCTCACATTAGATGACAATGACATGTTACAGAAAGTCTTACGTGACAAGCGATGAGAGCACCAGCGTTCCAGCCAACCAGGATAATGGGTTTGTGGGGAAAGTGACTGTGAACCTGGTGGTTACATTTATAACACATAATCAATACACCTGCAGACACAAAAGTCAAACATAGAAAAAAACAGAGGCTGTATTCTGCATGGCTCTATTTTTTTCCCATTTTGCCATCACAATCATGATCACTGAAGTGTTAAAAGAAACCGCAGAGACAAGATAATTGTTTGGGGCAGTTAATTTCATTAACAGACATTTTAGCATAACGTGTCTGGTAGGTCAGTTTGTGGTTAATGTGCATGTAATGAGAATTGCCAGTATATAATGCACACACAAACAAACAGCACTCTGCAATCTTTCGTGCGATGAATGCTAATGTGAATTTGCACATTAAAAAAATCAACTACATGGATTTCACAAACATCACCATGACACTGTAACTAAAGTCACGAGTAGCAAATAAAAAACAGAACATCCTACCTCCATGACCTTGGCCCTGACAGTGCCCAACATGTGTTCCAAGCACTGTGTGATGCCAATATTGGCTCCGCTGTTCACGTGAGTGTGCACTGGGATGACCTGACAAAGAAACAGCTCTTATAGACACTATTCTGAGATGAATAAAAACTCAAATTTATTTAACTCGGTTAAGATTTAAGACCTTTCCCAAACAGGAGAGCTGCGACTGCCAGAATCTCATTCGCCGCGATGTAGAGAGGGCAGGATTGGTCGGGCTTGATGGTGCGATTAGGATGAGTGGAGATCCAGGAAGCTTGCTCTGAAACATAGAAGTAAACCATCAGAAATCTGGTCTGGTACTGTTACATATCATGAAGAACAAAGTAAAAACAAGTGTATAAAATTGCTTTCTATTACAATGGTAAGGGTTACCGGTTTGTTTTGAGACAAAACTCCAACAGCTGGGTCCCAGGGCCGCTTCAGTAGCAGTGACAGGGCCTCTGCACTTGGAGCGCCAGTCTTTGTTGTTGTCAGCAACATTCTGTCGATCAGCAACGGCAACTTCCAAGACACACAGAGAAATAGAAATGAATCACAATGTTCCGATCTTGCTGATATTGATGCAAACATCTGACTGGAAGCTCTTATTCTTAATTCGATTACACACATCATACCTTGCTTTTAAGAGTCTGCAGCACATCCAGGTATGCAGCAAGCATAGCGAGGCTTAAGGATTCAATCATGGTGGTGTGTAACCACTGCGTCAGTTTGGTGTCCCAGTTCACACTGGCTAATGCATGCCGCACCTTCCTGGCACACTTGTCCACAGCTATTCTCCGCAAAATTGGCTCGTTGGAAGCCTATGGGAAACAAGATCATACTAGACAGTCAGCAATATTTCAATAATTGTTTATTTAATAATTAAAAAGAGTTCACAGCCTAAGCCACACTTTAATTTAATCTACAAAACCCTAAACTATGTACAGTTATGCCAACAATGCCAATTTACAAACAGCTTTAGTCATATCACTTTGCGGGATGACAATTTGACTTTAAGGGAAACTTTGGTATTTTTCAACCTGGACCCAATTAACCCATGTTTTTGTTTCAAAGTGACTAACTGAAACAACATTTTTAAATTGGTCCAGTATTGAGAGAGAGATTGTTAGATTGTCATTGTAAGTGTCTGACAAACTTAGAGAAAAGACACTACAGGAAAATAAAATGTTTGTCCTTATGTTCCACTGATCCGGCCTGTTTGAACTGAAATCAGTTAAATGTTCAGCCATGCATAAAAAAAAAACCTTTAAGCTAACACTAAGCTACATTTTCTGTACTCCAGTAAAACATACTTTTCCCAGCATTCCTGTCTCTCACTAACGTTTCCACCATTGTCTTCCTGCAACAAGTCACCCCTTGCAAGATTTTAGAATGATGAGAATTTTCCTTGAACTGGACTTGGTTAGACACAGTCACAAACAGACCGGCTCAAGTGAAAGGCAAAGAAAGACATCTTATCCCTCTGAAGGGATTCTTCCCATAATATTGTCAGACACTTAAAATAACAATCTGAGCCTGTCAGTGGCAAAAACAAGCACTTTGTGGACATACTTTGACAGTGCGCCACTGCACAGAGTGGTTACATTGCAGCCTGTTTTTGCCGTTGTGGCTGCAGCGCTCTTTCTCAATACTAGACCAATTTCAAAAACTGTTGTCTCCATTAGAAGCTTTGATGCAAAAATATAGGAAAATAGGGTCCAGGTTTAAAAATACTTCAGTTTTCATTTAAAACATGAAACTCAAACTAACTACGCAGGTGCTTTATGAGGATACATGCTGGTTTATCAATAAGTTCCACATTTGATTTAACTTACAATAAGCATCTGACCTGAGTCTACAGGCTCATCAAAAAATCAAGAGTTAAAAACAATTACATGTATTAAAAATACAAACAACAATACTTTGGCAAATAAGAAAGTAGGGTGTAGTCACCATTTTATAATGTCATTACTTCTTACATGTACTGGACCAAACCCTGTTTTTGGACACTAAAACCTAGTGCTTTTGGTGTCCAAAACAAACTGTACTGGTCTGCAAGGTTTTTTCACTGGCAAAAAGATGTGTTTTCTCCCAACAGAGTACACTGTTTTGCAATAGCCGTTGAGATTTGTTGAGCGTTGGGTGTATGAAGAATAAAAATGATCCAGGTCTAAAGTGACAATCTAATGAAGCAGTGATGTAAGCTATATAAACTCTGCAGTCCAAACAGTCATCCATGCACAATATATTTTGTTTTACAGTGCCTATGATATCAACCAGGGGGGAAAGCATACACTGTTGCTAATATAGGTAGGCACTGCATGTGCACTGTGCAATAACTGCTAGTCTCAGGGAGAATAGGTTTTTCAATCCAGCACTGACAATTGGTGCCAAAGAACTTGAACACAATGTCTTAAATTTAAAGCTCTTAAAACAGAATTAGATCAAGTAAGGACAACTTACATTTTCATTGGCCAGCCGAGCTAATCTTTCAGCTTGCAGAGCTTTGAGAACTTTATTGAACAGTTTGTTCTGGGCCACTGACCATCCAGTCCTGAAACACAATAATGATTATGTCAAATAATGCACTGCGATTGAGACACTTTTAATCATAACTTCTCAATCAACATGAGTGTTAAGTAGATAATAAATGAAAAGTGGATCGCTCCAAATGTTTGTTTACTTGTTTACGTGTTCCTCCCAGTCATCAGGGGGTGGAGGGCTCTCAGCAACTGTGCGAGCAAACAGAACATGTCGCTCACATTCCTTCATCACACTAAGAGCTTTCTGATTATCATACAGAGGAACAGGTGTTGGTGTTACGGTCTCCACGTCTAACACAGAGTCAGAGTCTCTGCAGACAGAGAAAAAATATTACTGCAAAAATGTTACTGCAAGGCAGAAAAAGTAGTTGTGGTCAAATAGATCACTATGGAATTAATTTTCTAGAGCAAAGAAACAGATGTAAAAGCTGATAATGATCCCAAACTGCAAGCTTATATCTAGTTCAGTTACAGATTATGAGCTTTTTGACTCACGACAAGGGTTCAGGCTGGCGACGAGGAGTAACAAACAGTGTCCTTGTGGGCCGGGCGCTGCTGGCGTCTGGGTGGGCATTCCATGGCTTGGCATAGCTGTGGTCCAGAAATACCAAATCCAGCTCTCTTTCATGAGCTGACAGCTGGAAAAGCAAGGATGTGCCCATCTTTCGTGCTGATATCTGGAAGTCCTTATCCCCACCACGATGCATCCTCTTCCTGGGCCCAAAAGGGCCCCGGGAAGGGCTTAACAACTTGTGTGGGTTCAAACCTATCTGGGAGAGAGAAGCCAAAATGCATTATTTGAGACAGGCCAGGAAAACAAAACATTTCTTTCAAATTTTCCATCAGTTTACAAAAGGATATCAGGAACTTTCACATCCTCTGATTCACGTTATGACAGAGCAGTCATTCCATAACCAAAAACCATGGATTGCCAGAACCATCCAGAAACATGGACAATTATTAAAGCAGCACCCAACAGTGTAAGGAGACGCAACACGGACTAAATAACAGTACACTACTTACAAGAGCTTATGGATCACATTTCACTGCAGTTACACTTTGTATAACTCCATGTGACAAATTAATGATGAACTGAAATTAAATTAAATAATATAATAAAAGGGCACTTTACTGATTTTACTGCACAAAGATCAGTTTACCAGTTGCAGTAACTAGTGTTATCTCACAGCTTGGTTTAAACTTTTATATGTTTTTGAGAGCCCCTTTACTTTATAGAAGTGCCATACTAAACCATAGCAGTACTCCTCTGCTATGAGACTCTTCTACAGAGCAGGATTTGTGATATGACTCTTGTGAATATGATCTGATATACCACGTTGAACTTTAATATAGTAAACTGCATATGTTTGGGTTTTGCACTGTTGGTCACAACAAGACATTTAAAGACGCTACCTTGGTCTCTGGGAAAGTGATGGACATCGGACCATTCGCTGTTTTCTAGATGCGTCTATAGCAAACGACAAATCGAGGGAATAATCGATGGTTACAGCCCTAGCATAGTCTGACGTTCAAACATGCAGTTGTTTTGTCCACGGATAGCACCACCCATTACTGCCATGTTCGTACTGGTTATAATTATCTAATTAATATCACTGACCTTTGGGGGGTTGCGTTTATCTTTTTAACCATCAACACGTCCGTTCAATATGATATTTTCACGTGACTGTTAGCTTATGTTTAGCGTTTATGTTATCGCTGTGTAGGGATAGTGTGCTGGCCTGGCATGCTAATGTTAGCATAGCAAGCTAAAAGCTACCCAAATGGCGCTATCGCTGTGTTTTGCTGCTCACCTTTCTGCCTTATCACTCCATCTTTGTTGAGACGGCTTAAACTCTTCTTTTGAGCCAAAGAGCCAAAGTAGGAGGTATTTCTTTGTTATTTCTAGAGGTTTTATAAAACACAAATATTCAGTGCGTAACGTTACGAACCTCACTTCCTTTTGTTGTGTGATTTGTTGCCATGTTGGGCTTCATATCCCCCCTTTTCAGAGCATTAAAGACACGGAGGATCGTCAGGGCTACATTTCAACAAACCTGGCAACCCACTTTGTGGCGCGTCAGTGAGTGACGTAATACGTGCACTGAGTCTACAGCAGGTATGGATCATTTATTAAGCGCTCTTGAATACCTTGTCAGTTTTATTTTTCTAAATGCTAAATATTGTATCCACAGACAGAAATTCTGTAAGTTATTTCCTTTTAAAGATCTCAAACCATTCAGTTTATCAAAAAACAAAATAAAAGTGTCAAGCTTTTGAAAAGTTATGCAATCTGAATATACTTTTCCCCCCTCTGTATGCTTGTATCCCTGTTTATCTTTTTTGTCTGCTTGTTTATTTTAATTGTCTTGAAATACTGTTATTTATACTCTTCACATGTACTTATGTCATACCTATTTGTTTTTATTTTTACATGTGCTAATATTAGTCATCTGATGTTTTGTACATGTTCATTTTGTCTGTTCAAAAAAGTCTGGATCATTTACTTCCTCTACAAAAATACTCAATGTTAATAACCTAAAAATAATGAATGTTATGCTTGTGAGTTATAGCCTAATTCGTGAGTGCTTTGCTGTTTTGATGCATAATGCTCTTTTCTACTTTACTGAAGTGGTTAGTGCCATGGTTGATTATTAAGGTAGTTAGTTGAAATCTATCCCCAGTCTGAGAATGACAGTAGAAATTTGGGCAGACATGTAGGCCTACAGTCACTTAGATCATGTGACACTCTGATCAGCTGCCAGAATGTCCGATGGCACCAAAAGACTGAGACATTTAAATATGACTTTGACGAATTATGTTTCGTCAAATGTTAAAATTAACCTAACCTATTTTTTTTAAATGACTTTTAATGTGGATGTTTTTTGTTTTCTTTTTTTGGACAAATGTCCTAGGAACGGTGATGAACTCTCCCTAGTAAACCTACCTCCCCTCCACCCTTCACTCCCCTTATTTGATTCCAAAGGTCTGTGCAGACACACTGTTTAAAAGACAGAGCCCCTCACTAAAAAACTATATATTTTATCCTCTTACCTAAACACAATTCAAACCGGACAAGTCTGACTGCCACTATGGTGAGTTTTAAAACTGATGAGTTATGAGATTTTATGAGAAAGTAATGTCAATCATGGAGGAGAAGAGAGTGGTTTTAAAATGTGTTGTTTGTTTCTGTTTTATTTTCTCCATAAAGAAATATTTGGCTCTGGCTTTTCTGCTTTGTGCTTTGGCACCACTGTCCAATGGAGCCTGCTTCCAGAGGGAGGTGGAACCAGGTAAAGGAGAAAAGCACATATCTACATGCAGACATACAGTATCTAGGATGAATATATATATAAATCTTGAAAACATTTACTACTTTTTCTTTCCACCTATAGACATGACCCATTGTCAGGACGATGTGGATGGGACGTGGCATGCTGTCGGATCTTCATGGAGAAACAGTCGATGCATGGACTGTACTTGCAGTGGGTGTTGCAGTGGGTAAGTACACAGATCACAGTTACTGAAGTTATATCTGTATTTACATATTCTACTGTTAACTGTGTATTTGCTGTGTATTTGCAGGTATTCAACCCCCACACGGATCCCTGATGAGTGTGTGTCAGTTTTTGACTCAGAGGCTTGTGAATACATAGTACACAAGAGGGACAACCCATCTGTACTATGTCCAATTTTTGGCGCAGTGGGGAAGTAATGGGTGGTCTGAAGGTCTGAAGTATTTACTCGGGGGAGAGAGCGAGAGGCATGCAGGTGTGATCCCTCACTGGCTTCTCACCAAGAAACACCGCCTGTTTTGTTGGTTGTGAGATACGATTAAGCAGGAGGCACAGCTGCAGTAAATTGAAAATGAAATATGGTGTTAATGAAATTCAGATGAATAAATACATAAATCATAACTTTCTTCTATATTTATTTTTTGCATAACTTTGTATTAGAAAGAAAATCATTTCCTAAAGAACACAAACCATGTTAAAGGGCGATTTAAACTGGTTAAAATCAGTTTAAATCGGTTACTCACCACCAGAAGTAGCTACTACGCAGGATGTGTAAACAGTTGTATAATGTTTTATGTGGCTCTGCAGGAAACTTTCCAAAGTTTGAAAGAATAACATCCATCATCAGAGTTATCTTATGTTGGACATTTTTAACAGGAAGCCTCCCTTAAAAACTTGAGTTGTGGGGTTTTTGGAGGCGTGGGCGGGCTCACAGAAGACACTGTTCAGTTGTATTATGGGAAATGTAGGATCCATTGTTTTTGGAGCTTGATGCACACTTGATTCAAAGTCATAATATCTTAGCCTCTGCTGCTTCGATTTGGACCATCCATTTTTAAATCTGTCTCTTGAGATCTTCCGTCTTTAAGAAAGGTAAATGCTAAATTTCTGGAGTGCCCTTTCAACATGATAGAAAACTGACTTGTATTTGTGTTTGCAGACTTCACCAGATGTTTCAGTTTCAATTTCAATTTCAGTTTTATAAAGCCCAATACTGCGGGGCTGTACTTAAACATAGTGTTGCTTTTAGTTAAATGCTAATACCAGCATGGCAAAATGTTGACAATTGCAATGCTAACATGCTGACATTTGGAAGGTAGGCTATAATGTTTGTCATGTTCACCATCTTAGCGCAGGGTGTTCCATATCCTTGTAGCTATTTTCATTTTATTATTAAGCACCTTGTGTTTTGAACAAAATATAAATAAATAAAGTTTAAGTTTTAAAGTGTTAGCTTGCAAACATTTGCGAATTAGCACCCTCAACCAAAGTACTGGACAAACTGAAAATGTATCCTGATGATGATGACTAGATGAAAAAACAGGGGATCCAGTTACCCATAAGAGGAGCATGGATTTCATGACAGTCTATCCAACAGTTGTATATATCATATGTAATCTGCCAAATAAAACAAGTAGATTGATAATCTGATGACCTATAGTGGTTTATGTGCTTCCAACACAAACCTAATTTTCACAGCCATCATTCAAATCATACAAGTCTGGTGTCATCGTGGTGAGTTTCTGTTATTATTTCTTAAATAATTTGAGAATATAATTGTTGGTGGCTGTTTTGAGCTCATTGGCTCATTTTCACAATGTCATTTTTTTTTTAAATTTTACAGACTGATAGAAATGAGGTTCATGTAAAAGTCCTTTTTTTCAATTCCAATGGATCAAATGCAGTGCACATATAAAATCATAAATCATTCTAAATCATTTCATTTAGAAGAAATGACAAAGTCACTTTCATTTCTAATACACATTGCAGTGCCTATTTAACCTATTAAAATTCTCATGATTTTATTTTCATAAAACGTAGCCCGGCTATAGCCTAATAAAATCTGCCTGTCACTTGGTAGGGAGCAGTGACAAGACTCGAGGAACCAAGGAGCAACCTAGCACTGAATAGTATAGTTTACTACCCCGTCTCTTTCGTTGGAATCATGTTAGATTTCCAGATCTACTACAAAACTGAGATCTTCATGGCCAATATGGATAGAAGGAATGATCACAGCCACCAGTAACTGTCAATGTACATATGGGCATGTGCGTTTTGTTTCAAGATAGACCTGTCCTTTAAAACTGTGATGTTCTTTGCTCCTGTGAAGAAATATTTGGCTGTGACTTTGCTGCTTTGTGCTCTGCGGTCACTGTCAAATTCATACTCTACATATTCTGTTAAACTCTGTGTTTGCAGGTTTTCAATCCCTCTTGTATTCCCTGGCTGCGTGAAAGTTTTTGACCCGGAGGCTTGTAGTGCACAAGAAGGACAATACATTGCATCTATTTTCTTTTGTTGCTGTTGTTCGAGCAAGAATCAAAAATAAAAAGCAACTAATACAATTTCAAATGAATGAAAAAATACTATTAAATGTCTTCATGGTGTACTCAAGCACAACTCTGTAAGAGAGAGAAAAACAGAAACCTTGTTAGACCATGTTGGCACTCCACCAATGAAAGACTGAGACATGATGACTTGAAAAAGTCAGATAAAAGTAGACATGACTCATGGGAGGGTTTTTCAGATCTTAAAAATGACTTCAAATGACTTTGTACACTGTATCGTCTATTTCTTTATTTGTTGTGTTCAGGCAAATACAAATAGTTCCAGTAAACTGACCTCCCCTCCACCCTCCACTCCCCTTATTTGATTCCAAAGGTCCGTGCAAACACACTGTATAAAAGACAGCCCCTCATTAAAAAATACAATATATTTTATCCTCTCACCAAACTGGATGAGTCTGACTGTCACTATGGTGAGTTTTAAAATGGATGAGTTATGAGATTTGGTCACAATTGTTTGTTTGGAGCTGTTTTTGTGTTTTGAAGGGATAAAGTAATGTCAATCATGGAGGTGAAGAGAGTGGTTATAAAATGTGTTGTTTGTTTCTGTTTTTTTCCATAAAGAAATATTTGGCTCTGGCTTTTCTGCTTTGTGCTTTGGCACCACTGTCCAATGGAGCCTGCCACCACAAGGTCATGAAACCTGGTAAAAGAAAAAAAAAACACATATCTACATGCAGACATACAGTATTCGTGATGAATATATGAATCTTGAAAAACATTTACCACTTTTTCTTTCCACCTATAGACATGACCCATTGTCAGGACGATGTGGATGAGACGTGGCATGCTGTTGGATCTTCATGGAGAAACAGTCGATGCATGGACTGTACTTGCAGTGGGTGTTGCACTGGGTATGTACACAGATTACAACATTTCTGTTTTTAAGTAGAAAGATAAATAACTCATCACATTGGTATCCATATAAACTACTGTTTTTATGTATTTGCAGGTTCTCAATCCCCGTGGGATTCCCTGACTACTGCGTGAAAGTTTTTGACCCAGAGGCTTGTGAATACATAG